GAGAAGTGCAGAAAAGGTTCGAGCAATATCATGCTTTTCTTGGTTCCTTACAATAGCAGTGAATGACATAGCATTTCCATTATTAGGATCAAGCACAAGTTTGTCAATTATTCTTTCACCACACTCATGAATATCAAAGGGAGGGTGTGACTCCTGTCAAACTAACACTAATTAGTTTGGACAAACACAATGAGAGAAAATCAAAAGAGGAATGAAACATTGAATTGAAGGGGTAGGTACTTATTCAAAAGCAGGTAAAAAACCTACCTGCTCTTCCAAGTTCTGCTCAATTTTCTGTTTCCAAGATGAAACTCGAGCAGCTAGTTCAGTCTGCTTCTCATTCTCAGCTATGCTCGCAAGTAGAGCATCCTGCATGAAAAAATTGTAAGTTTCTACCAAGCAGCTTTCCACTCACATGCATATAATTGCCTTCAGGAAGCACTTTGAAATATAAGCTCTTCAAAAGAGATGGAAAAGAACGGCAAAAGACTAATGTACAGCCATGCAGGCATAACTTGAGAATTAGCTATATACATATTGCTAAGAATTGTGCAGCTATAATTGTTCTAAAAGAAACAATGGAACCTATTCAAAGTTTTTTCAATAGCTTTGGTGAACTTCAGATCAAACCATGAGGGGTTTGGGGCAGGGGATGCAATTAACAGAATTGATGCAATTAACAGAATTTAGTGTTATGTGTCTCACCTAGAGTTTGAACTTTAAATCATCAAATTACCATTCAAGAGTAACAACAAAATGCTTTTGACTAAAATCTGAACAAATACATGTGCCAATGGTGATATTAAATTGGTTAACAGTTCATTAACAAAAAAAAAGGCTAGGGGGATATGTTCATCTCAAAGGGGGGGGGGGGTGAGGAGGCAGAATTATCCTGATAAAGTGTGCATACAAGGTGAGAGCGACACAGATCTTCCAGAGTTTCTTGAGAACTGGGACCCACATTGTCAAATGCTTCATCAGTTCCAAAATGAGCCACACCATCACCATGCTTTATATATAAAAATCACTTAGTAAGAAAAATTACAAAATCCCACATTGTTATTGGATAAATATTCATGCATAATCTCATTCTAATTTACTAACCTTGCCCCTCAAAACTCAAAACTATAAGAGGGACTAGAGAACATTTTTTGTACCATTTTGCAAAGCCCAGTCCAATCTGTTCAGGACCAAACTCCCTAGAGACCCAATGTCAGACCTACCCATAAGGCCATAACCCAATAAACCCACAGCTAAAACTGGGCCGACGTCTTTCCCAGAAATTGCGACAAGGGTATTATAGTAATTAAACATGAATCCCCCGTCCCCCACGTCGAATTTTAGATACGTGGAGCGCAAAGGAGGTGGAAGGAAATTACAGGTCCCCGCCTTTTTCCTTTGTCAATAAATCCGAATCCCCTTTCCCCATTTCTCTCCCGTACTAAATCTACCCCGGAGCACAGAAAACATCATCATGGAACCACCTTCCGCCTCCAGCAATCCAGGATACGAAATAACCGGCAGGATCATAGTCAGCGTCATAGTCGTTTTGTTTTTTGTTATGGTCATCGTGTTTGCTCTCCACCTCTACGCCCGCTGGTTGCTCTTCCGCGCTCGCCGCCGTCATTTGCCAGCCGGCCGTCACGGCGTTTATGGGACACGCGTCGTTGTCTATGTAGGCCCAGCTTATAACCCGGCCACCACTGTTTCCCGCGGTCTCGAAGTTTGTATCCACAGGTCTCTCCCCGTTTTCACGTACTCCGCCGAAACCCACCCCGATTCTGTTATGGAGTGCGCCGTTTGCTTGTCGGAATTTGAAGAAAACGAATCGGGTCGAATTCTGCCCAAGTGTAATCACAGTTTCCACACAGAGTGTATTGACATGTGGTTCTACTCTCACTCCTGTTGCCCTCTCTGCCGGACCCCGGTTGAGGAATACAGGCCAACGCCGGCAAACCCAGGTGATGTACCTTTGACCATACAGGAACCAAGAGGAGTGTAGTCGGGATCGGTCTCGGGTTCAGGGTTCAGGGTTGTGTGCGACGTGTGAACAGATAGGTACGTCGTCGTTTGGGGGACGGATGGAGCTGTCATTGGAAGTTCCGAGAAGGAACGGCGAATGGTTTGAAGGCGAGTCAAGCTCCTAAAGGTCAACCATGAGTAGGATGTTGTCATTCAGAAGTTATTTATTTATTTATTAAGATGAAAGAGCAATTATTGTGAAATAATTAAAAAAAAAGAGGTTAAACTCCAATTTGTTCCTGAAACTAAAAAATTCCTTCATTTAGTTTTTAAACTATTATACGAAGCTTTGGTAGAATAAATTGATAAATAATAAGGATCAAATTAAAT